CATGGTGCATAAATTATTGTAAATGATTTTTTAATTATAACCGACAAGTACCTTGACTAGCTTACTTTTGGATATATAATCCCTTACTTGGATTGGACATATTTCATGTCTTCCCCTTTCTTTTAATATTGTACTGGTCTAATTGACTGTAATAAAGTTAATGAGTTAGTTGCTAAACAAGGACTACCTGTATGCTGCAGGTATCTCATCTTGAATATCCTGGCTTTCATTTCTCACTCCTCAAGTATTTCAGGGCAGGGAACAGCCCTAGCTTTAATTAAAGAAATGAGGAAAAGTCTACTGGCTTCTAAAATAGCAGATACTCATTTAAGTACAAAGAAGACTCTGAGCCAAAGTGTCATTTACCACAACTCATGGAAGCACAGCAATATAGACCGGCCACTATGAATACCTGTGTTGCTATTGGAAAATCAGAAAATATACAAATAAACAAAATTGTTCTTATTTCCTGCAATATTTATTACTTTTTATTGTAAATTAGTAGGCAATATTTTTAGGTGATAGTACTATATTAGCACAATGCTCTTTGAAAAACATTAACAAAATGTACTTCTAAAAAACTCTGACCTGCAGGTTGATTGACCTAAGATATTTTTTTAGGTTCCTGCCCAAAGATGCTAGTTGTGTGTCAGTGCCTGGTATCCAGCCTTAGATTGGGTAAGAGGGTGGGCATACAGCCCACTGGCTCTGATCCTGCTCCCCAGTGTGATAGAGAACAAGTCTACTGCCTCTTCTGTATGACAACCCTGAATACTGTTGTCATATTTTCCCTCAAGTCTTCTCCTCTGCAGCTGAACTTATCCAGTTAACTATTCTTCACAGGAATTGGTTTCCAGTCCCCTTGCTGTCTTAATAGTTCTTCTTTGGAGTAGCTCCAGTTTGTCAATGTAGTTCTTGGACTGCAGTGCCCAGAATTGGGCACAGTTTTCCAAGAGGGGGAAGGGATGAACAAGTCAGGGTAAAGTGGGGAAGTTATGTCACACAGTCTAGCCTTTATGCCCGTTAATATACCTCAAAATAGTATTTGCCTTTTTCAGCAGCTGCATACATGCTGTTGGCTCATGTTCAACTTGCCATCTACTAGGACATCCAGGTCCTTTTCATCTGAATAATTTTTTATTTTTATTGATTTATATTTCAAATTTGTCACCGCCCATCTCACTCTGCAGATACAATTATTAGAATTATAGGTAAAAGAATAAAACCCAAATAAGCTACAAAAATTACAAACAGAAAAATACAAAAGAAAAGAAGAAGTGTGGAAGAAAAAAAGAAAAAATAGAAAAGAAAAAAGAAGCAACTTCCCCCTTCATCCCAGCAAGTAAAAACAATCTTAGTAACTTATCACTGTCCCTAAATACAACATGATCTCACTTCACCCCCTATCTCATCTATTGAATAAAAAAAGAGAGTCCAAATACAGTGGTACCTCTAGTTACGAACGCCCCTCCTTACTAATTTTTCGAGATACGACCAGCTCCGGCCCCAAAAATTTACCTCGACTTGTGAACTCCGCCTCGACTTACAAACCGGATCCGTGGCCATT